ACAACGCTTGGTGTGATCCACAAATTGATTTTTCGGGTCTAGGTATCATGTGTATGTTTAAAACGCACCCATGACACAAGAGAAAATCCAAGAGTGAGGTAACGTTTTGTTACTACGTCATCTATCAAAGAAAATTATAGTGTTTTCATAAATTCATAAGAAATCGACTGTTAGAAAAACATCTTGCTCCTAAACCTAAAATACATAATACAAATGAAAGTGAAAGGGTATCTAGTTTTAAATCAATTTAATTAGGTAACAATTATTCCAACAAGTAAGTAAAAACAGGTATATCTATTTAGCAACCCTCTTAGATCCAGAGCCAGAAGTAATTGTTTTTATCCTTTTCCCATGGAACCCCAAAACGTATTAGGAAAGTTTTTTCGGTCTAATCTCGTATGTAAATCGACCAGTCACTGTCTTTTGTCGGTTTTTTCTCAACTCAGCGGAAGTCATATGGGATTTTAAGTTTTATAATCGACATTTTTTTATTATCTGTCATTAGTTTTATTTAATAAAACCAAAGTTTTATTGGTTTTAACGTCAATTTTTTGGTATTATGAAGTGTGGGTTAAGTTAATCTCAGGGGTGGTTTTGCTACTACTACTTAGTAAAACTATCTTGATGATAGGACTACATATTACAACGACTAAGAGGGGCTACTGTTGAACTAAATCTCCCTATTAATTAATACATTTTTGTCATCCCCATTTGTCTTTTATAACGCAGTCTGGGAAGGGAAAACAAATGTTACATAAGAACATAAATGACTAGTGCAATGAATCTTCTATCAATGTATATCTATTTCCTAGTAATCACTTAAAATTTCACAAGAAACAAATATGAGTAATATAGGAAATAAGCTCATCAAAGTTTCTATTTGGTCGCAGATTCACAAAAACTAGTATTACTATAAATGTACTAACGCGCTTCTTCGAATACTTATTTGTACCCAATACTTGCAGATTGAGACACCTACGTTTTATTGATGTATGATTAAAGGTGACTGGTTCACTTCAATTAATTAGATCAAGTGAAACGACTAAATCCAGTCGGTATACTGTTTTTATTTCCATGTTAGAACAGATTAGATTTAAACCAATCATTAGTAATTATTATAAATCATTATTTTTTCCCTTAACAGCTTAATTATGTAAAGAACTTATGCCAAAACTGCACCGCATTGATTCTCACGTCGCGAACATTTTTTTACTACCATCAAAAAACGCGCTCATTTCTTAACAAGATGCACAGACACAAAATTCGCACGGAAGTCTATTCTATTGACAGAAATGTCCAAAAAAAATTTAAAAAATTCATCATGAGCCTAACCTGTGGAGAATGACATAAATATTCATAGACGAGAGACACTATTACGCATATCAATCACTATGCAAGTGCTAAAAAGGATCTAATGGCATGCGTAAGCACACCCCGCCATTTTGTCTTGCGCACTGTCATTAGCGCCTTTTTTTCATAGAGCAACCCTTTGTGTGGCTTATTCAAATTGGTGACAATAGAATGTTTTTGTTTATCCGTTAATCTTAGGCATGATGATGTGAAGACGCTTTTGTAAGATGTTCTATTATTCTTGGATTTGTTTTTAGGGTCATACTTGTTGTTTTATGGTCTTTCTTGCCGGTTAGTGATAGGATTGCCGTAGTACGTTTCTGTGTGATGTTTGATCAATCTGCAATTGGTGTATCAATTGCAGATTAATACCTATCTGACCTGACGGAACCTCCAGAAGTAGGTTTATGTACCTTTCGTAACGGTTATGGCATAATACCATCATACCAAGTAATTGCGCCCATTCATTCAAAAAGTCAGATATTTTTTCCTAACCCCCAAATCCAAAATTGGTATTTTTCATTTACAGGAATCACAGCACTATTATATTTTTTCTTTCAAGACCAATGACAATCCCACCAAAAATAAAGATGCTGTCAAATTATGCGCGCGCACACCATAGAGCAAGAGATAAAGGAGTAATTTTTTTAACACGTTTCGTTTAACCCTTTACCCGTCACACACTAATTACGTTATTGAGAAATTAGTCAATATTTTCGCACGGTGCTAGTTGCACGTGTTTCTTGCGGTAACCGAGTAGGTAATTACTTAGGAAGTTATTTGTTATGCTAATTATTCGAGTTGCTTTTGAGGGAATTAGCTTGATTACCGGTTTGTAGACGTTTTGTGATTATTAAAATGCTATTTGATATTAATTTGATTCTAATTTGTTTATTTTAAGATTTATCCCTTAAATAATTAGCATTAAGAATCAGCTGTTGCTAACTTTTTTACTTTACTCAAAAATAGATTCTGACATTCAATAAAAGTTTGTAGTTTTGATAAGACTTGACTCTTATTTTTTTATAAGGAGAAATGAAAGTGAAAATAATTATCTTTGACATTTCCATCTAAAAAGGCCAGGCGCGATGAAAAAAAAAGCGTACGATAACACCTGTTTTTCTGTGAACGCCGAACTAAAGGGGCGTATTCGGAAATGTAAAGAGATATTAAAGATATTAAAATAACTTTCTTTGTTTTTGTTATCAGTAAAATAAGGTATCGAATACTAATGAAGTTCGATGTCGAGAACACTAAGCTAAACATGTTTGTGTTCCCAATTGATTAATTAGGTAGTCGGGCTTACATAAAAACTACAACAATACCTAACCTAACAATAACTATCCTCTATTAATAATACCCACATCACTGGGCATTAAGACACTGAATGTGATATTTAATTAAGCAATAATTTGTGTTACACTCGACTAGAATTTGAAGCAAAAAAATCCAACCCCCATAACTCAGGTCTAAGTACCAGCTTGGCTCACGGCGTGCCCATTCCAACCCACCTTTTCCTCAACTAGTCTCTATTTGCATACTCTTAATGACCAACGATTTGATAAAAATGGCCGGACCCCTACCATTTTAGTATGCAAATTCTCCAACCGCGTAGACTGCCTTGAGTCGTTTTTTTAAAGCAAAATTTCCTCATGCCACAACCAGAATGATTCAATTAAGTGCTACTGCTCTAATTAATTCAAAATAACTGTGCCCATAACACTATCTAGGTTTTTCATCCTAAATAATAGACGTAAATGTAAATGTCATTGTTAATTATGCATCTGCTTCAGTTACATTGTAAGCAAATAAGCTAAATATTTCATGGTAATTAATAATAATGGCAGATGCAAAATAGTGAAGAAAATTTCTAGACGACCAAAAAAACAAACAAAAAGGATAATGCGTAATCTTAAAAAAACACTTTCCATATCTTCTCACGAATGCGTACAGCACGCTAATTAAACAAAGGTGCGCTAACAAACAGGAGACAAGAAAAAACTTTTTTAGTAATCAGCAAAAAATTCAAGACATCGTGAGAGATGCATAAAATTAACTTGTAATAAATACAAACAGTATGCAAATACCTACGTGACCACTTTTTAAAGAGAAAAAAAGACAAAAGTGTTCACTGTGGTCGCAGCTACCCCTTCGCTAATTCAAAATTGAAATTTGCATACGACTCCGGCGATTTTTTCACTTAAAAAGATTATGTAAATGTGTTTTTTGGACATCGGATGAGTGAGAAAGACTTTTTTTGCGCTACAAAAAGTTGCGTCGGCTGAGATAGGGTTAACTTCGTAAGCAGAAGAAATGAGTTCTCATACTTTACATGCAAACTTTTTTTTTGTTTTAAAAAAATGTTTTGATTATTCTTATTGTAATATTTGTTTAATAATGTGTCGTTTTCAAATTGGTTTCTAAAGAAGGAGTCTATAACGAACGATACCAAGAGATTATTATGTTAAAATAAAAATATTTGAGGAAATTAACGAAATAATTAATCAAATAATTATTCATTCACAGATAGGTATTTATTATTCTCGATATATAGAATTTTATTAAATCCTATATAATATAATCCTACAGATACAGTCTTATATTAAGAAAGTACTTCAATATAACTTTGATAAAAATACTTGAATCCTCTCTTAGTTCAATAAGAAGTATTTTATGTATAAATAGACAAGCGTATATATAAACTAGGGTAGCGTACACATAATTCAAATACATATTTATATTATAAACTATACAGGACAGAACAATTTTTTTTTCTATATATTTTTTTTTGTTATAAACATTTCTACCTGAGTCTCGGGGTGGAGTCTAACAAACCACCCCACAGTTTTTTTATTGCACAAAAACCAATAGTGCACTGGTAGGGGTGGTAACATTTTTTTCATGGCAACCCAGATCGATATTTTTCCCGCTCAAACTTCGCATTGGTTAACCCGTCCCCGTCGGTTAACAAAAGGTTTTATGTGAAACTTATTCATTTATTTTTACTCGTAACGGTCGATCGTTCATTCTTTTCGGTAATAGCAGGGGTTGAATTTAAAAGGGTTATTTTTTATATAGAGCTCTCCTCACGCGATTTCTGTCGATTCAAATTGTTTGGGGCACGCAAATGATCGAGTTTTATTTTCTAGAACGTTTCGTTTTAATTTTGTTTCCTTGATTCGGGGCTTAGAGACGAAATTAGCGATAATTTTGTTGCAGTTCGATGGTTAGCTTATTTTTTGTTGATGTTCACCATGTCTGTTGATGTTACAACTTTGTAAAAAGTTTTGTGTATAGAATAAAGCAGATCAAAAATTAAAACTTTCGCAATAAGTATTGAATTTATTTATCTTATCCTTACCCTCTATCCGAATCCCATTACACTGATGCATCAGTTTAAGTACTACCTATTTTAAAATGAATTAATAGTCAAAACAAGGTGGCTAACACATTGTATTATATTCGATTATATTCCGTTTGCCGATAGCTTAAACATCCCTTAGTTCTCTTATTCTGTAGGTTCTCACCGATGACCAAAGACTACCCGATGGCCGTCGACGTTAATGGAGGATTTGTCTTTACGGTCTTCTCTCAGCAGTCAAATAATTAAACATGGATAAATATTTCAACCAATTTTTTTTTTTTTTCAGTGGTCGTGACGTCGGCTCCTGCAAATGAGGCAGAACTACAATTGTACAGGGTGATGCAACGAGCCAGCCTGTTGGCTTACTACGACACCCTGTTGGAGATGGGTGAGTATACCTATAGATTATACAACAATTTTACTACACACTAAAACTATTTAAGCGTAATAATAATAATCACAAGGTAATATTACCATGTAAGAAAATATTAATGTGATATTTTATATGTCATTAAAGGAAAATAGGTATTTCGCTTTTGCAACGAAGTCATAAACAAATCTTCCAAAAATCTATTAGGTACGGTAAATTTTCGTAGTAAATCAACTAAAACAAGCTGTTTTACCATGTTGTTTCGACAAGCTATTTAGACACGTGATTGCTTTTCTGTACCTACTATAATATCTATTCAATATTTGGGTATAACGTTTGCTTTTATCAACGGAAATAATGACGATTGCCAAAATAATTATGATTAAACCAGCCGATCAATCATATTTTATATTTGAATATGACGCGCATATGATTTTAATGAGATAATGTTAATTAAAATAACTTTAATGAATAATATGTTATCAAATAATCTGCTTATTGCTTTTATTGTAACGTGTATTCAATAAAACAAAAAACACATGAAATGATAATAACACGGCCCTCCTTACTAAACACAAAACACAATATCATAGGAACACAAGAAAAAACACTTTCTCATAACGAAATAAAGAAAAAAATCCGAAAAATAAAAGACACTACAGAATCTCCATATCGGTAAAAAACGCGCGCTCAGCGTCGACATGCAAATTACTTTTTTAATCTTTTACTTTTTAATACCGCCGATTACTCGAGCTAAGGAAGGGTTTGGCCAGTCAGCCTTATCCTTTTGTTTTTTTTTTTTCGGCGCCCCTTTGCAAAATGGTCACGTAGGTATTTGCATATTTGCCTAAATTAAAACTGGGTGTGTGAGTTCTTATTTTTTTACGGTATCTCACGTTTTTGTGTGGAACAATCATAGCGAAATGAACTTGCAGCGCAAGAAAGTCTTGCATATTAATGTTTATGGGACTAATCTATCTGTTTGTAACAATAGTCCAGTTTTTGTCGTCATGTGAATGTAAAGAACTGATTATCGCGGTCGTCTTTTTTGATCTTTGAGAAATAATTAATTTATTCTTGTACGTACTTTCTTGATTGTAGTCTTTTTTCTTTTGTTTAATAATGCGTTGTTTTATTAACTGTTTCAGGTGGGGATGATGTACAGCAATTGTGTGATGCTGGAGAGGAAGAATTTCTTGAAATAATGGCTTTAGTAGGCATGGCCTCAAAGCCTCTCCACGTCAGACGACTACAAAAAGCCCTTCAGGAATGGGTCAACAATCCTGCCCTTTTCCAAATTCCAATCGTTCCTAACCTCTGTCCAACTGAAAATCCCTTTATCCAATGTAACCAAAGACTCCTTAATATGCCTCCTTCAATTCCAAATGTCTTACCGAGGACGGTGGCCTCTCCTGAAAGTAGTAGACCAATGTACAGCCCGTCTCCTGGTGCTCCTGAGAACAGTTGTGGGTCTACTGCCTCCGCACCTAACGCTAGTCCTGTTCACCAAGTGAATACATTTACAAAGATAGTCTTACCGCCGTCTCCTGCACCAGCAGCCCCTGTTACGTCAACAGCTTCCAGATCGTTTTCCCCACAAAGTGCCTGTCCACCCGCTTCGGCTGGTTCCAGCCCAAGTTCAGTTACATCACCAGTTCAGCTGACGCCAGTACTCTTGGACGTTCACGTGCAGAAGTTGGCCGCAGCTGCTGAGAAGTTGAGCAAACATTTGCCTCAACTGGAACCAAAGCCACAGAATACAAAAAAAAAGATGTGCAAAGATTTAGAACTAGTGATGATGATGCCGGAGTCAGATCCGAGGCGGATGGAGGAAATTAGAAAGTACGCAGCAATTTATGGAAGGTTTGATTGTAAGAGGAAGCCTGAGAAACCATTAACGCTGCACGAGGTTAGTATCTAGATAAATACAAATAGCAATAGATATTATTGATAAATAACATAGTTCGATTTCGAAAAACGAAATCAGTAATTTATTTTTCTCTAATTTCCAGGTAATGGTGAACGAAGCGGCGGCTCAGATATGTCGTTGTGTGCCTGCACTCCTGACAAGGAGGGACGAGCTCTTCCCTCTGGCGAGACAGTTAGTCAGGAGGGCTGGCCTACACTATTCTAAACACGGGTGAGTCAGTCTTTAAAATACCACAGAAGAACTAACCCCTATCTTAAATTTGGCTGAATGTTAGTCTCATATGAAACGTAAAGAACATCTGAAAAATAATAAGTATATCGTTTTTCTACTTTTTTTATTAATAGATTAGTTTTATTCCATAAACACTGTGGACTCATCATCACTCTTAATAGATTCTGATGCAATCCCTTTAATTAATGTTAATTTATTAATTTTATGGCTATATTTACATAAAATATTAACTTTATTTAAAAATGCTACTGTAATAGTTGATACCTGTATCTTGGGATTTAATATTTTACTACGTAGGTGGATTATTTATTATGAAAACATTATAAATAACTTATAAATATGTATTCTTCATTAAATCGGTAAATTTAATTAAAAGCATAGATACATTAAAGGATACGTAGATATTTTCACTAGTTACGTGTCTTTATTCCTTATTTACACTTACGATAAAAACAAAATAATAAGTAGTAAGGTGCACCTTTTTGATTAACAGGACGATATCATATATATTCAAAATCAATTAATATAATAAAATATTAATCTTTCTTCTTCTATTTCCAGCCTCCCACCCACAGCGTCAACAGGCGAGGACCGGGAGCGTGACGAGGACGAGACGCCTCCGAAGCGATCGCGGCAGGTCGCGCCCCAAACTGTAGACCTCACCGATTAGAAACTAACACTAATGGACATAGACAGCACGTTAGATACGTGGATCATGGAATCTGTTTAGATTTACACAGAGTTGATATTCCTAAACAATAATTATTAATCATCATTTATTTTCTTACATAAAGTACCCATTAATCAATAAGCAATGGTGTCACAATATTTTAACTAACCACAACTTTGCAAATGCTCCTTATAAATTAATTCTTATAAATACATATTTATGCATATATGCAAAGTTTAAAAGAGTGCTTAAATACCAAAAGTTCTTGCAAATGTTTGTGAAAATTTACGAAGATATTCTCATTTTCTTAAAAAAAGGTTCCATGGTTCACGTTGGTATAGACGATTACACTTCAAGTGAAAAAGACACTTACTAACTGGAATTATGGGCTTACCCATATTTGCATCCAATAAGAATTTGATAATTCTTAGAATTATTGATTTCTGGACTAACGATTAAATTACTAATAGAAGCGGTAAAGGACCTAATATGCATCCCTCAGGTACGCCTTCGGTGTTATGGAAAAGCTATTGTTAATCGTATTATTTTCGGTATACAATAGCATGTTTAATTCAATTTGATACATGAAATATTATATTCTTATTTGCCAATTATATTTTAGTTGCATTTTCATAGTAAAAGGTAAGCATGACTCAATCAAAAGCTTTATCAAAATCTAATAACTTGGTATGCATTGTAGTACATTTTGTTTTAGAATGGTAATGGCAATAACTGTTTCGGTAAGTAGAAATTTAACATTTTATCCTTATTTGCTTGGTTTATTTGGTTTAATATACAAAAAATACTAACATGAATAGTAAAGACCAAAAAGAAACACATAATCGGAAAAATATATATTATAATTAATAAAAATTATGAAATATAATAATAGTTAAATAATAAATATTTCTATTATATCTAGGAAGGTGAGGAAGGAAACGGTATCCGAGCGAGTCCTGATGCAGCCAGAAGTAATTCCAATAGGTAATATCTAGATGACCATATTCTAACTAGAAGTAGTCTGCACTATCTACAAAATATCTAATTCCAACTAGATCTCTCTTATTAGAAGGATTAAAAAATCCAGTTAGAGACGAGAGACGTAATCCTATGTTCACTTCCGGACGTTTTGTAGCTGAGACGTGATAATGATGAGATGGTATTAACCCCAAGATTTCTTTTAAGCATCTCACTATGAAATCAATAAGAAGAAAGCAAATTCATTATTTGTAGTTTCCATCATTTCTTTGTTTCCAGTTGGTGGGGCGTGAAGGCAGAGAGTGATGACGCTGACTCCAGGTGTTCATACTCCAGTACCAGTACTCCACCACCGGTAAGCTCATCATTAATGTTTATACAGCAGATTATTTTCTCAGAGTATTTGTAAATTGATTTTGATCTGAATTTGGTCATTATATTGTCAGAAGAAGGTAGCATCCTTGTCAGACCCTTTTTAGTCTATTCTAAAATAATGTTGTCTATTGATATCATCCCAGTCAGTTTCTTTTTGTT